GAGAGAGAGAGAGAGAGAGAGAGAGAGAGAGTTGTTAACACATGTGACCCAATACAGTTTAAAAAAAAATTAAGTAGCAAATGAATCTAAAATAATAAAAGGCACAATTTTACCTTTAGTTTTAACCTAAAGCTTTGGGTTTTAGCCACGGCTGTGCCTGAGACTCACTCATAGAAATGGTTGCCCAGAGATTTCTGATAAAGCAGTTTGGGGGAGGCTCTGCTTGTTGTCAGGGTCCCAAGTAATTCAAAAATGAAGCCATGAGTGAGAATCAGTGATGTGCAGCCTTGGGATGCTTGATAATTAAAATCAGTAGTGACCAGGGTACCAAATAAATCCATGCATTCTTTAAATGCCCTTTTCACAATATAAGCAAGAGACTAAGGAAGTCTTAACAAATATAAAGATGAGGGGGCCGGGGAGATGGCTCAGTGGAATAAGAGCTTCCCTGGCAAACGCAAGGGCCTGAGTTCAATCCCCGGCTCCACAAAAATAAAAATAAAAATAAAAAATAAAGGTGACTTCCCACCCAAAAGAGTGCAAGAGGGGCTGGAGAGATGGCTCAGTGGTCTAAAGCACCTACTTGGAACAAGCTTGGCAAAGCACAGGGACCGCGGTTCGATCCCCCAGCTCCACATGCCAGCCAGCCCCGCCCCCTAGTGGGCTGAGCTGGCCACACACACACACACACACACACACACACACACACACACTAAATAAATGTAAAAAAAAAAAAAAAAAGAGTGCGAGAGAAGTTACGACACAGCTCAGCACAAGGAAACTAAGTAGGTCAAGGTCATTCACATGCTTGTGTCCCCAGCAAAGAGAAGAAGCTGCCACTGAGAAAGAGAGAACACACCACATCACATACAAGCCACATCTAGGGGTTGAGAGGATAACTTAGCAGCAAGCACCAGGACCTGGATTCAATGCCTGGTACTGCATGCTGTGCCAGCCCGCCCCCCAGTCACACTGAGCCGGCCACCGAGACTGGGCTCGGTGGTGCATGCCTATAATCCCAGCACTGGGGAGGCTGAGACAGGAGGATCACTATGAGTCCGAGCTGTACTGCGAGACCCTGTACCAAATAAATAAATAAATTTTAAAAAACATGTCTAAAGGAATCAGATGCAGAGTAAAATATTGTGTAAATGACATATACATAGCTTAAACTACAGGCCAGTGGGAAATGGCCAAGCAAAATTGCTCCTTTCATTTCTTCTTCTCATCCAGTATCTAAACCGTTCCATAGTTTTTCTTCTTGATTGCAAAATGTAAAATAAGCATTTTTTTTTTTTTGCCGGCTCAGCCTGCCTTGAGGTTGGGCTGGTGTGGAAGGTGGTGCTGAGGATCCAACTGCAGTCCTCTGAGTCTACTTAAGCTTGCCTAAGCAGGTGCATAAGACCGCCAAGCTATCTCGCTGGCCCCTAAAATAAGCACATATTAATTCATGTTTATTTTCTCCATTTTATTCTTAATTTTTAAAGTACTGTGATTGTTGGAGCTCCTACTACAAAGAGACAAAGAATCTTTTTCAGATGTGCAATAAGTATCATTTGTATTTAGCTGGTCTTTACAAATTCTTCTGTTCTCTGCAAGATTCTTAGTGTTGTAACACTTACTTAAGACAGTTTCAAAACAGAAAAACCTGTTCTACCATAGCTACTATACTGTGTATTTAAAAGATCTTATTTTCTATAGGATTGTTCTGAGTGCTCTGAATTATGGAAAACTAGTAGCAAGATTTTGATCATTTGAGATTAGAAACATTGTAGTAGGAAAGCCAATAACTTAGCAATTCAGCAGAGACAATGGGAAAAGTGAGCAACTATTGTAACCTGTTTCCTTTAGTATAAAATAATATAGTAGGGCTTTGCTAGAAAAACAAACATTTCTGACTGGGCTGTGGGGGAAGAGCTGTATTCAGTTAGTCTGTGGTTAAAGATCTGGCTGTGTGAGCTTGGAGCCTACAGTTGTTCTCTTCCTCGTAGAGCTGTTATTTTAATTTCCCTGGAATTAAAACTCCCTACTGGTTCTCTTCCTTGGAATCACTTTTCATCTTCTTCAGCCCCTTTTTCTCCCTGTCCCCATCCAGGGAGAAACTCGGTCTACAATTAAACATCAAGGACAGGCAATTCTCTGCTTGACTGTTGGAGACCTTGTTTGGTCTCACCCTGTGGGTCAGTGTTGGGTGTTAGCCTAGGGCCCATGAGAGTTGTCAGGACTGAAGTGGAGTCTGTTATGGCTTGTGTCTAGGTGTCCCTGTAGAGCCTCCTGTGGTCATAGATGGGGCTTCTTAAGAAGTGGCTGGATCTAGACAATGTGACACTGTAATTGATCATGGAGCAGTGCTAGGCTCAAGGGCAGTAGAATTAAGGGCATACGTGCTGCCCACCCTAAGTAGCCGAGATAAGATATGAGGGCTGGGAAGAGCTGTGGTCATCCCTTGCTTGCCTTGCTGCCCTCTGCCTGCCATGAGCTCTCCATCCTCTGGGATGCCTGTCTGCCAGGTCATGCAGCCTTGAAGCCAGCCCCTTATGGACTAAAGCTCTACAAACTGTGAGCTAACTAGACCTTTCCTCCTTGAAATTTGGGTGTCAGGCATTTTGTCTCAGCAATGAGAGAAAAGTAACTGAGACAGAATTGCTTGTGTCAAAGTCCAACAGCAGCAACAACAACAGAGGAGGCTGGTAAAGAGGCGATACCATGCGTGATAACAAGAGCTGTTCCCAAAGACTACCAGAGCCCCTGTCTTGTATGAAGGCCACTGCAGCCTCATGGAAAAATTAGTCCAAGGCCATGTGTTGGTGAACTGTTTCTACCACCTTAATCTGTGATGTCCTTGTTATTGATCTGTGAACACCCTTGTTAATTCTTATAGCAATGGGTGATTGTTTGTGAATAACTATGTATTCACAATACATAGTTACTCTCTGCATTCCGCCTTTGGCCTTGGAAACTTTCCCTTTTCCTTGTCCCTTTCAAACACACCCGTGGTTTTCATGACAGCTCTGTTCCGTGTTGCAGTGCTCCTTGCTCATTTACCCTTAAGCTTCAGTATTCCTTGGAGTCTGTCTGTGTGTCT